TTGATTATCCGAAATCAAAAACTCGAAAATCGAATTTTTACTCGATTGACTAATTTGGCTATTATTTATAAAATTTTATATATATATAAAAAAAACCTCTGGGCAGTTGGGTCTAAAAATTTTTGAAATATTATGTAAACCAGTAAATTTTATTTGTATTGCCTTATTAATAATTGTTATAGATGATCGTGAAATCAGATAATGGTAAAATTTGTCTATTTTATGACTTTTAAAAATTTTTAAGCATTTATTATTAGCTTTTTTTTTAAAATTAGGATTTAGGGTTATAGTTATTAGTAAAACAGTATAGTTAGATTTTGGTAGGACTTATATTTTCAAATCGAGACCTCAAATTTCACTATCATCCGATTTCACAATCATCTACAACAATAATTTTGTCATTTTAAGTATTAATAAATTTTTATTTTTACCTAAAGGTGTATCAAGAAACAGTTTTAAATATAGTACAAAATCATTTTAATTTATATCTACTTATACTAGTTGATAACCATAGAAATATTTTGTCACCAGAGAATATAAGACAAAATGCTGTGAAGAAGATGTACTAGTTTTGTGTTGCAAATTCATTGCAGATATTATGGGCTTACCTTTGAACAAACTGGTACTCTTCATAGCGATAATATCTGTGAGCACAATTAGCTAAATTTACCATTTCTCTTAGTAAAACCACAATAAAGATTGAAGCGTATTGGAGTATCATTAAGTGGTATTATCTACAATACTTTAATAGACCTAGGTTAGATTTATTTTTCTAGACACTTCTTGAAAAAGTAATTCTCACTCAAAAAGAACAATTCTCTTAGATTTTAAATAATATAGTAGAGCCTTGGTAGTAGAAGAGTTTTAAAAAGGAGTAGAACTATGCTAGTGCAAGTGATAAACAACGGGTAAAGATGTATAGTAATAAGTTTAACAAAGACAAAAAAAAATTGAGTATCAGTACAAGAATAGCAAAACCTGTTAGATATACTTCACTAATACCATTAAGTGAGTCTGTAGTTGTTCTGCCTTTGTTGGTAGTAATTTCCTATTGTGTAAATATTTAGTACAAAGATTTGTAGAATGTCAAAGATTGATTAGAAGTAATTTTAAGCATCATACTATGCCACCATTCCTTGTCATTAGAGATGAGCAAGATAATAACATAAGTAATAATTAATTTTTTAACCCATATTTACACTTATATATTGTCAATAATAAGTAATAATATGTTACTAACTTTGCTTATCTCTACTTGTATCAAGAGCATGAATGATGAAGTTATGACTAGTACCTTGCCTGCACTATCAAAAATATCTAGCAAAATTTTTAAAGATCAAAGTATTGATAATATATCTAATAATAGTGACCTTGAAAATTAAAAAGATACTCACACCTTTGTTGAATCAAACTGGCTTTTGTTTGAATATGTATTCAAATAAGTCTGCACTAAAAAATTAGCAAATAATTGAAATTATGTTCATGTAGTTATGAAATATAGCAAATTGCTAGAAATAGAGAAAGAAGTGCAAACAGTAGAGAGAAAGAAGCATCTGCTAGCAACTTGGGCTCCAGAAAATAGAAAACTATATCTGATATATTTATCATTTCCGGATGAGGTGAATAACCATGAATTGAATCAGAATGATATAAATAATTAACTATAAAAACTATAACAGTACGCTTTGTATTTTTATTATCTCTTACCTTAAAATCTTGTTTAAGTATTATGTACAATATTTGTATAATCTTCTGTATATGAGTGTCACTAAAAGAAAACCTGAAAATTTAAAATGATTTATATTTAAATTTTCAGAGGTTTTTTTTTTAGCGACACTATAAATAATTTCATAATATAAGGTCATACAAAATTTATAAATCAGTTTTTAGAATATAAATTTTAAAAGTAATCCAAAACTTAGCTTTTAATTTCATTTTCAAAAAATTTTATATATAAAAAATTTAAAAACTCACCTAAATAGTAAATATGCTTAAAATTTTTTTAAATTTAACCACTGAGTTATTAAAATTAAAATTGTTTATTAGTTTGTATAGTCTAATAGAAGTCTTTTAATAGGCAAAAATTTTCTTTTTATAATCGCATCATGATTACAGATGAAATCTGATTTGTCTGCATGTAACCGCAGCAGTGGCTGAACTTATATGACCTGTAAATTTGCAGACCGTGCTGGTAGACTCCCAATACATCACACTCTAACAATCTACCAATTAAATTATGTATCTGTAAAAATCAGGTGTAACGTTAAATTTTGTTTTTTTGTTTTTTTTAAAGAAATTATCAATATCTCAAAATTGTATGCTGTAAATTTAAATATTTTCTTTTTGCTCTTTGGTGTGTTTCACTCTCATGATGAGATTAATAAAGCTAACATTATTAAAGTTAACACTATGATTGCAAAAATATATATAAAAATATTATTTTCTACGTAAAAATTATCAGAATATTCTTTTGCCTAGAAAATAGCTAAAATAGTTTTTTTTTGTATCATGTAAGTTACAGAAAGATAAAGTAAAAATGGTTAAAATTTTTTGCCTTTTTATCTTAAAGTGTAAATATATTTGATCTAATTTTTAGATTTGATGGTTATTAAAATTTATGAATCTTATGAATTTATCCAAAATTCATAAAATTCTCAAACTTCAATAACTATATTAATTTGAAATGGCAATAAGTATATATATAAATGTTTTTTAAGATTTCATATATATAATCTTAGCAATTTCTTGAATATTCTATGTTTAGATTAATTAATTCCTTCTGTTATTTAATAATAAACTTTTAATTTTGGGGTTAATGCTAAAAAAAATTAACATATGTCAATACTTTTTTTAGTATAATTTAACTAAATAGCTAATTTTATATTGTATTTTGGTGTATGTAATATTTCAAAGCATTATTTCAAAATATGCATTTCAAAGTCTAAAATTCATATCAAAAGTTTGTTCGATAGTTAAACTACATATTACCGTTGGCCACTGCATAAAGTATCCCCCAAAGATAGTCCCTCCATGATTAAGACTCGGGTATTACTTACTGTCCATTTTGACCTGGCCACAGGTAGTACCCAGATACTTTTCAAAGTTGAATCCTGTAAGAATTGATTAATACCCGGGTATCAAAGGTCTTAACTAAAATATATACTGGCAGTGTTATAAATTCAAAAAATTTTTATTGGCGCAAATGCAAAAAAAATATGCACAAAGAAAAAATTTATTTGCATGTTATATATACAAGAAGCACTGATATATGCGCAAATTTAAATCTATGTATGCTGTGCCTACTGTGCCAATCCAATTTACATCACTGTATACCGGTACTGATAATTAATAAGTTTTAAGTATAGTCTAGCGAATTATTTGTAAAGACACTTTCAAGTTTAGTTAATGTTTGTTACATGATCTATAAAGAAGGCCACATTTTCATTACTCTGAATATAAACTAATAATAATCATTTTGTCAATGCCATACATTTATTGTTGTTATATTGAAAATCATTTACATTATGATTAGAGTTAAAATTGAGAAAATTATAAAATTCAAAAATCGGTAGAAAAACTTTTGAAAAAAAAATTGCAAAGAATTTCAAAAAAAAAAAAAAATTAAAAGAAAGGCATACTGTAGAATAAAAAGTATACTTTCTAAAATTTCACTGGATGCAGGTGATTTGCAGAATTTTGATCCTACCAAAACTTATAGTTTCATATATTTAAAAGATGTACTTTTTGCAGCTAGTCTCTTTTTCTTGAAGCAAGATCTATTTCCCGCATTGACTTAATAAAAAAAAAAAATTTTTTCAAAAAAAAAAAAAAAAATTTAAAAAAAACTTTAAAAAATTTTTTTTTAAAAAAAAAAAAAAAAAATTATAAGGTTTGTTATTTCACGTTGTATCCGATTGATTAATCCCAAATATTAACATCATTTCTTTCTTCATAATAATCGAATTCTGGGCCATCTTCGTCGTCATCTGGAGTTAATTCTGGAGTTAATTCTGGAGTTAATTCAATGCTTTCACTTTCTTCTTCGATGTCGACTCTTTCACTTTTCTCACCCGATACTTTTTCAAAGTCAAAAATTGTATTATCTTCAGACCCGTCTACTTCTGTAGATACCCACAGCATTTGAAAGAACGTCGTATCATAGCAGGATCAATATTGTTCCATGCTTCTTTGATCCAGGTAGTCACAAGTGAGTATGATGGTTGTTTGATTTTACTGGCTGGTGTGTATTTTTTGATGGATTCATCCATCCAACGATTATAGAAATGGCGAACCTGTTATAAAAAAATAAAAAAATAGAGAATTGATAAAAAAAAATTTTTTTATATCAAATTTTACAATTGTTGCACAAGGATGCTAAAAACAATTTTAAAAAAATAATCTCTGACGAAAAAAAACTTCAGTAATAACGAGAATCATGGACCAAGTTAGGCAGTACACTTCAAAAGCAGAAGATATTCTTGGCACAATCTCTAGTCCTTTGAAACCCTATATTCCTGCAATCGCTCGCTTTCTCATTGTGGTAACGTTTTTAGAAGACGCGCTGAGGATATTATTTCAATGGGGAGATCAATTGTATTATCTTGAAAGAATCAGAGGAATTCCATGGGGAGTTTCACATTTATTCTTGGCAGCTAATATTATTGTAAGTCTTGACTTTACTTGATGTTAAACAATAGTTAATTGGGTATTTTTTATAACTTTTGGGATCAATTATTTAATTTAAAAAAAAAAAAACATTTTACACACATTTTTTACTCAATTCTGCGCAATTCTATCTTGAATATTATTCCGAGTCAAAAAAATACTGATAAAGTAAAACCGCACTTATCTTTTGTAGTTAATGTTTGCGGGATCTTTCTTAGTTGTCATAAGAAGATATCCAGAATATGCAGTTGGAAGTCTTTTTGCAGTTGTAGTTTCCCAATCTATCGGATATGGTCTTTGGAACGAAGTCAATTTCTTATTAAGAAGTCTTTCTGTAATTGGCGGCTTGTTAATGGTTCTTTCCGATGCGTTCTCCAGAAAGAAGTCATTCTTTGCTGATTTACCACAATTATCTGAACGTGATCGTAAAACATATTTTCAGCTTGCCGGTCGAGTATTATTGATCTTTTTATTCGTAGGATTTATTTTTCATGGCGAATGGTCGGTTACTCGAGCACTTATTTCTTTAATTGGGTTCGCAGCTTGTATAATGGTGGTAGTTGGCTTTAAAGCCAAGTGGTCGGCCACATTCTTAGTTCTTTTCCTTTCAATCTTCAATTTACTTATTAATAATTTCTGGTCTGTTCATCATGCGAACCCACAACGTGACTTTTTGCAATACGATTTCTTCCAAACTCTTAGTATTATGGGTGGATTACTGTTATTAGTAAATATGGGACCTGGTGGAATTTCTATTGATGAGAAAAAGAAGGCCTTTTAAAATGTTTAATCAGCGGATAAATCTAACAAAATGTTTAACATATTCGAATAGCACGAATTGTATGTATTTTATGTATGTTATTACTAGATTTATAATTTTTTTTTATATTGTAACATGGACAATAAGATAATTTTATACTATAATATTTAAAAGTTGCCCTTTGTAAAGATTAGATTACCGCTCTTTGCAATTTACATTAGCAACTTTCCATGTGTGATTACAATTGTTTTTTTTTTTAATAAATTACGTAAACTGTTTGAAAAATTTATCAAATAAATAAAGTTTTATATTAATGTATATATG